GAAGGCGCCGACACTCTTATCACGTAATTTATGATACTCCGAGGGTGGATAGAGGAGGGGGAATGTTTATGGTGTTCAGCTGCAACGGCCCCGAAAAACCTCTACGGTTTCCGCCTGATGAAAGCTGAAGTTAAAAAGTCGTTTTTTCTTCCAAATTCTTTTTTTTTCAAGAATCATAAAGAGAGCGAAAAAATTGACGCAAGAGCGAAAAATCATCGCCTGCCATGGATCCTGCTTCTGCGTGCATTTACATGTCAGTGTTGAGTAATAAATTCCGAAAAGAATGAGTTGAAAAAAATTGCTCGTACGAAGATTGATATTTTTAGCTTCAACAATTTTCTGGGCAATTTACTGGCATTATGCAAGTGAGTTTTTAACGCCACGGGGTATCGAAATGAAAAGTCTACGTATTTCTCCTATATTCCATGCATCTGAAAATGGATCATTCGTGGGGAAAACTGATTGTTTATTATCCGTTAGCCGCGCAGAGAAGCCTAAAATGATATAATCGAAAAACCGGTCCAGTGGATTCAATTTTTGAGGTGAACTGCATTTTTTCCCAAAATTAAAAAAAAAATGTGCAGAACAGCAATTATGAATCACTTTTTTGATATTTGACTCATAAATAATGTATTTTTAGTTTTTTTATGAGGAAATCCACTGAACATGCACAGTAATTCGAGATCAAAGGATCGGGAGAATAATGTTTATTAAGATTTCGAATATTGAATAAAAAGTGATTCGTAACATTTTTTTCTCTCATGTTTTTTGGGAAAAATACAATTGTCTATCTCTTTTTTACATTAACTAATGATCAGTTTTTGTATAAATGGAATATGGGGGAAACCTATAGAAATTCTCACTTCGACAACCCGTGAGGTTCAAAACTCACCAGAGTTCGCTAATTAATTCCGCCAATTCCTTAAATTCAGCCGATGCAAATTTATTTCCAACTTTTTTGAGTATTGATTCAGGAGGCATTTAATACGAGTGCTTGAACGCAATTTCTCTCGTTTCAACTGTACCTAATCTAATGGCCGATGACACTGGCTTCACGGTCGAACGGGTTCACGATATCCACAGACTCGACGGCAATTAGTTAACGAGTTGCGATAACCATGCGCATGACAATTACAGAAAAAGAAAACACTTTTTACTTGAAAAATCGTGAAGTTGAAAAATACAGGAGTAAAATTTAATTGAGTAAATTAAAAATGCAAAACCGCCCAAAACCAACGAAAATTTAATAAAATAAAATAAGAGAACAAACTGTATATCGTAAATAAGGATATATATTGTGCAGTCATTTAGATAGAATAGGTAATTTAATAGCTGTTATTAAATAAACTGCTTTCTGTATCATGTTGAGCTGTGCGTTTTATTAATTTCTGTTATATTTTACATCTATTTAATTTGATCCTGTATGAAATAAAATGAAAATGAAAATGAAAATTTATGAAATAAAATGAAAATCAAAATGACAATGAAAAAATTAAGTCAAATGAACTCTGGCCATCCATTATCGGAAGTATTCGTACCCTCATACCTATTACCGTTTTGAAATCCAGTCTAGTTTAGAGGGGCAAGGGGGGCGAGTGAGAATAAAGGGGCTTTGTGAGCACTCACGGCGTTTGGAGTTAAAACTCCAAACTGAAGCCAAGAAACTGAAAAAATAAAAACCTGAGGTACCCGGCTATTGTTAAACACGACCATTAAACATTTCGAGTTTTAATTTACGTGTCCCCTAGTAGCCTAGAAATATTTGTCGACGTGAAAAAGCTGAAAACAAACCATTCTTGGTTGTGGCCCGAGTGACCGACATTCTTCCACTGCCGGTAATAAAATCACACATTACGACTTTTTCATGATGTATTTCCATAATAATCTCGTCAAGAAGCGAAACAGTTCCCCATAATTTTTACATAAAAATTAATTTTTTCAATGGGGATTTTTCCTTCCACAGGAATGAATGGTTTGATCCTGCCACGCGTCCAAAATTCAAATCACGCTTGCGAAATAAAACCCGAGAAATAGAATACCAATGCCATCGTCGAAGAGTCACTCGTATTAATCCAGGACAAGAAGGAAAGAAAGAAGAATGAATGAATAAAAAATAATAACAGGGGTTTCGCTACGGGTGGCCGCGAGCCAGTTTCAAGACATCAGGCGTTAATTCAGTAATTCACTGGTCAAACGTGTTGACCAGTGCTGGTGAGGAGGAAATAAAAAATCGTGGCAAAAAACGTGACAACAAGTGCGTGAAATAGTTGAATTAAATCATCTCCATTATGTAAAAAATGTTCTACATGAACCGAGTTGATTCAAGCACTTAGAAAATGACGATGAAGTAGCTGTTAAGGGGGGGAAAAATCCCGGGAGCGTGAATTTCATTTTGTTAAATCATGTATACGGGGCTCAATGGAGCGGAGGATAAAGACGTCGATTGTCGATCATGCGAGATTACCGCGGCCTCGGCTACTCTCAAAAAGCAAAAGAGATGAATAAATATATAGTGGAAATGCGTTCACGAGGAGAGGAAGGAAAACCGGGTTTCGAAAATGGAGAAAAAAAAGGGCGGGTCTTGTGTCTTGTGCATCCACTGCATGCACGGATGAACAGGGTAACTTCTCTCACTTCATCATTCGTGTCTCTTTATGCTGTGTGCGAAATTCGATAGCTCGAGATGCACGAAATACCATCGAAATCTATTGAATCTTCGGGAGACTTGAGATTTTGGGAGGAAAGAGGAAGGATGGGGAAAACTTTAATCCCTTTTTGGGGATTGAATGACGTGTTTCGAGGGATAAAAAATGGGGAGAGGCGCGTCGACCCCACAGAGAGCTTCGTGTGCCGGCGGTAATGCAAATTTCATGGAGCAGAAACTTTTTTAAAGAAGAGTATTGGTCTCAATTTACGAAACTATTTTTATCGTTTGACAAGTCAAAGACAGGGGAGTATCTATCTCTCAATTGAAAGGAAATACAGTCCATTTTTTCCCCAGCAGATTCCGAGACTTTAATTATTTCATTAATTAAAGTTAATGATTTAATTGAATTGAATTAATTTCATCGAATGAAGAGCTCTGAAATGTTTGCCATATTTCACGAGGTATTCAATACTTTCATGCATGATGCATTTTCATTTGATTATCATGTGACAGTAGGCGTCAATGTGGTGCTAATGATTAATGATGTCACAATTATAAGGGGTGGATCACATCGCTGATTACATTGTTGATACTGATCTCCCCGAGATGTCTTTTCAATGTAATACAAAGGAGGCTGATCTTCATGGGGGTTTGGATCGTTGGGAATTCGTCGCATAGATTACAATTCCTGCAGTGAGTCATGACTTTTAAAATCATAGTGTCACGTATCTCATTGTCCCATTAAAATTCCTCGGATTCCATTTGTTTCGATAATTTTTTTCATCATTCATCTCAATGATGGAAAACCGTCATTATCGGAGCCATTTGTAGAGTATTATTGGGCTCACAATTAATTAATCTTATTATCGCTTCTGGGATCAGCGTTAATAACCACTCAACTCGCATTTGAGGACTTCATTTGGCCGGAAATTAATCGGGTCAAAGAAACACCAATTGACCCCATTCTCTTTTTCATTTTTTGCACTTCAAGAGTCGTTAAAATTTCCGTTCCAAAACCACTGGATATATTTTTTTATTTTCCCAGATAAAGGCGAGCTGCAAAAGTTGATGGAGAGTAGCCATTGAAGTCTTGAACTTCTTGTGTTCCATTATACGGAACACTCGTGGCTTGCCTTCGGTGTGGTAATCATGCCATGCATCTTGACGTGATTCTTCGCGCTTCACACTTTCCTCATCTCCCTTTTCATTTCATATAGAACGACTCTGCTTTTTACCAAGTTAGATAGACAATCTCTAATGTAACTGAGTCTGCTCATGCATACTCTCCAACAAGTCGTCTGCATTGCACTCATTGGCATAACTAAACAATGACAGTCTTGTTTGAGTCGAGTCTTAAGTATCAGAATCCATCAATCAATTACTTTTTTCATCGATTGAAATGCTGAATGAAGCAAACGTTAATTACATTTCAATTTCTTACAAAGAAATTCATTAATTTTTGTTATTTCCCTTCAGTAAACCTCGGGATATTTTCAAGATAACGGAAATACATTTCAGTTTATTTTATTTTCAATTCTTGTTACGAAGCACCATAATTTTTGCCAGAGTAAAAATATTATTCTTCCCGTCGAGAACAATTTTCTTAATGTCATGAAATGAGCGTCCAACTAACTCCCATTGTCCCTCGGCAATAATTTTCCACGCATAATTACCCCATGCCCTCCGCGCAAAATCAACAAAAGAAATGAGCTAATGCCATTGAACTAATTCACGCTGCAATTCAAATTCAATGGCGTGCCCGAGTGAACGCTGAACCTCTCTCTCTCTCTCTCTCTTTTTGTTATCCACATGTTATCGTCCACGGTAGCCGCGCCGATAGCTCTCTTTGCCATTCAAAAAATGGGAACACGCTTGAGAAGCAAAATAGAGAGAGAAAAAAATCCCAACATACTAGACTATCCGGGAGATTACGCCATTTTTTTATTTAATCCCAACCTTGCCTCTTCCTCTAACGTTCGTGACTCTCGGGATCTAGCCACATGTATAAACCATGCATCCGTAGCGAATGATTAATTAAGGCTTTCCGAGAAGGCGTAACAAGTGAAACATTATTGGTGCTTAGTGGCACAGTTTGCTCGACCGGGCCGTCGTCACCCCCCGATGGTCCAGGGGGAGAAAATTCATATGAATTGGCACCAGAGTCATTTATTAACGCAATATTTTCATCGTTTATTCATGGATTCCACGTCTGGTATTTTAATTTGTCGTGTGCAACTCGTTACATTACAAATGCTCACTCACTAGTCACTAGTTATCATCATAATCATCAGCAGTAATAGTCTCATCATTAAGTAGTGAATTTTAATTGATATGAAGTTCAAATTTGTTGCAGATGCATTGTGATATTGATGATACTGTCGACGGTGTCGTTGGTTGACTCGTACATACCGGAAAAGTATCCAATTGAGGTAAAGTACACGTTAATGATAATCATCAGATGCCGGTGATAATTCTATTGAAGTATTCATCAAACGACTTTAAATTGATCGTGGAAGATTGCAGTGACGTTGGGGTGCACTTCGCATTGCTTGGAAAAAATAATGTGGATCAATTCCTATCAGAGATTGAGAGATAATTGACGAGGAGATGCGTATCAGCGGTATTACGGGATGAGGAGCTTGTGGATTGGCAATTGCTTGTTCATTCAGTACCATTAAGTCGCTTCTTTATGCATTCAACTGCACATCAGTCAAATGAGACATCATACGGGGAAACTGTAAAGTGATTGACGAGTGTCAATTGTGATGGCTTTATTCAGGGAATTGATTTGCTGTTTATTTTCATCTGTTTCATCTGGGTTTTAAACGTGTTAATGACACGAGTTTTTGATGAATTATTCAGAATCTGAGAACGACGAAAGGCGACGAAAGATCCTCGTAAAAATTTCACCGTCTCTCTCTCACTCTCTAAACTCTAATTGCCTTTGAATTTATTTGATGCCTAATGGTGGTTCGGTGTGAGTCGAATTTAAAGAGAGAATTTCTGTAGTTCCCGGTAGCTTATGTTGGGAAGAGCACCATTTAATCTGTTGACTCTTGCAAAAACGGAGTGTAATAATGTTATAAATAGTAGATATTGTGTCGATTCTCTGTTTTTAGAACTGTGAATCTTTAATTGAAATTGATATGTTTGAATACGTTAACTTATTATTTATCTGTTCTCGTATTTGGCAAGCGAATAAACGTATTTGTTAAAAATAAATAAAAAAGGGCCCCGGGTTCGAATCCTGTGCTGGGGCTTAAGGAATGTCATTATCTCTAAATTCTCTAAATTCTAAACTCTTGCAGGTATATCACATGCTCCAGGAACGATCGCAATACGGAATCGGTCGTGACAATAGAGTAAGAGGAAGTTGGGGCCCCTGGAGCTCCTGGAGTGAGTGCTCAAGGCCCTGTGGAACTGGTGTTCAATCGCAAGCCCGTCAATGCAGTCTGCCTCGGTAATAATGCCATAAAACGATTACGATTACGTTTCATTAATCTCCCGGAGTGTCATGAAAATCCAATTTTCCCAAGAGATATTCTCCAAATTATACACTCCGAGTCGAGTGAACTTAGAATTCTGGTCTTAGACATACATTTGACTTCCATATCGTAATGGGGGTAGCAAAAAAATGCGCATGTGAGCTGTAATGACAGGAGGCGCCAAGGGATTTTTTTCCTCGTGTCCATTACAATTTTTTTCTCTCGTGGTGCTCTCGATGACCGGCCTGGCTTTCCCGGCCATCAATAACAAGTGTTTCTCTTGCGTTTCAGTCGCTCTATGTGTGTGTATGTTTAATGAACGTGTTTCCAATATTTTTTCGTGCTTCAAGGCGAATAATTGGAGCACATTTATTATGCTGGCTTGAATAAACTCAAGTGATTTAATATTTCATCAATTTTCGTTGTTCAAGGGGCCTGAGAAAGAGGAGTTTAGCGAACGACGTAAATGCAACTAGTCCAAAGCCGATTTGCATTGGTACACATAAGAGATACCACATATGTAACACTCACGAGTGTCCAAATTACTCGGAGGATCCTCGGACTGAGCAATGCGCTAAGTATAATAGTAGAATGTACAAAGGGAAAAGCTACAATTGGGTGCCATTTTTAAATGGTAATAATAATAATAATCTAATTAATAATGAGTTGTTATAGAGGAAAATTTCTAGAGTTGATCGCTTTAGCTGAGAAAATTCTCTACGAAAAAATTTATCGGACACTTGCCGCAAAATCCACACACTGATGTAGAGATAATTAATGATTTAAATGTCAGCAACCGAATCCTTATGTTTTGCCCCTTTCTTACTGCATCATTCCAAGTTTATATTACATTTTATCCGTTCACTTTTAATTCATGCAGTTTATCCAACGACAATTTAAATTCAAAGCAAAATACCCTGAGGTCATTAAGAAAATGAATAAAAAATCAGATTAGATACTATTTTCTGCAATTGATAAAAATCGTAAAATTGATGATTTCTCATTGAAATGCAATATGAATAATTATCAGCCGTGGATAGTGAATGAGTTTATTTCATGATTTATAGCACCAAATCCATGTGCGTTAAACTGCCGTGCAATGAATCAACGATTTTATGCGACCCTGGAGCCAGAAGTGGTCGATGGTACACCGTGCGACGGTCCCAATCTAAGTGGTAGAAGTACAGGTCTAACTATTGACCGAACTGAACAATGGTTGTGCGTCGCTGGACAATGCAGGGTAAAACTGGGTTCCATTTTCAATGACGGCGATAAGACCCCATTTTATGGCAGTTTAAATTAGTTCTTCTTCGCATTTTTACCCTACATTTGGTTTCTTTTAAGGGGAGACTACTAAGAGTTGTAAAAGTCGTAGGTTATTGGAGTGAGACTTTTCATACGTTGACGATCGATTATATAGATCTGAAAACGAATAATTAGTGCAAAAAAAAATTTTTTTTATTTTTCGGTTGCCCGAAAACGCTTAAAATGCCAAAAACAGTCCAGGGCCTTCAATTTTTGAGCTACGAAGGATTTTTTTTGTTCAAAATTTTCGTAAAAATATGTGGAATAACAATTACGAGCTAGTTTTTTTTTAATTTGCCTCTTACATGGCTAAATTTGCTTTTTTTGTATTTTTTTACGCAAATAGTGAGTTTTTTTTATGAAAAAGAAAACGAAATCAGCTGTATAGGAGTCAAATTTCAAAAAACTGGCTCGTAATTGTTGTTCCACACATTTTTTCGAAAATTTTGGAACAAAAAATCTTTTGTAGCTCAAAAATTGGAGGCCTTGGACTGTTTTTAGCATTTTAAGCGTTTTCGGGCAAACGAAAAATAAAAAAAATTTTTTGTTGCACTAATTATTCATTTTCACATCTATATAATCGATCTTCAACGTACGAAAAATCTCACTCCAATAACTCACGACTTTTAAAACTCAGTAGTCTCCCCTTAATGTGTTACACTTTTTGATGGCACTTTTAAATGGCAGCGAAATTTTTACCATTAGCCAGTGGGATGCGATGGAGTGGTGGGATCTGGTGCTATTAGGGACACCTGCGGTGTTTGCGGCGGCCAGGGGAGAGGCTGCAAGTTATTTGAGGGAATTTTTATGGAGCCTATCCTTCCGAAAGGCCATCAGCCTGTCACGACAATCCCCCGGGGTGCTATGTCACTCAATATCTCGGAATTACGATATACCGGAAATTTTTTAGGTAAATGGGGAATCCTTATGCATTTGTCCAATCGAGACCGGAAAATTTTTCATTCCGTTGGTTTTTCGTAATTTTCGCAGCTCTCAGAGCGGAAAATGGAAGTTATGTAGTTAATGGGCCGGACTCGGTGAGTCCGAGTGGTATTTATAAAATTGCTGGGACGACTTTGAAGTATCAAAGGGGCGATAAAAATCGCATGGAGAGTATAGCTGCAACAGGACCACTCAATGAATCCCTGGGGATTGAAATTTTATATCACGAGATGAATCCCGGGGTTTTGTACAAGTATATGCTACCGGCTCCAGAGGAAATTCCGGAGGATAATGCCATTAGCGCGCCACCTCTTTATGCGCCAGGTGAATTGTAATTCGGCGATAATTAAGGGGTGGAACAGGAAAATAATAAATAAATAAGTCTAGTCAATTTTTTGTGAATAGTTTTGGATCTAAGGGAGACACGGAAATTTTTATAAGGGTTTATTTTATAGAGTCGGAGATTGATTTATCCTTTTCCACCACTTGACAATTCAATTAAAAAACGTAGCTGAATATTCTTTGATTCCATAATCGATGAGATAATTTATTCCCCAGGTTCTGTTGTAAACGAAATTCCCCATCCGAATTTGGGAATCGCTTCTTCGAATCCAGTCACGTAACTATTTAATTCATCTGGCAAAAGTGTTAGAGCCTGTTCAAAGGGCAAAACTACTCTGAAATTATCTCTTCCACAGTCGAGAGAGGCAGCCCGAGGCAACGCTAACGAGAAATCAGGTAAAAGAGCAGAGTGACGAGCATACAAATGAAGAAATGAAATTCTCACCGACAACGGTGATGGCAGGCGATGAACCAACTATTAATTCATCTTCAAAGAAGAAGAAGAACAGGAAGAGGAAAAAATGGAAATTCGCCTGGAGAATTATGGGACTTTCTCCGTGTACCAAATCCTGCGGGGGAGGTGAGGCTGATCAATAATTTTGAATTACTTATTCGTGGGAGGCGGAATTGTAATTTAGTGACAGACTGGAGAGATATGTCTCCTGCCCATTCAGAGAATACTGGGTATTGTGGAAAAATAAATGTGACTAGCAACTCCAAGCCCATCCGCATTTTTCAGTTACATAGTTCCACTTTAATTCAATGGAATGCCCGAATTAATTACATCACTTACCCGCTGAAATTAGATGAAACGGTTGTGCCTAAAAAGTTCATCCCACGATTCATGAGATTTTAAGAGGTCTAAATTTTTTCGGCAGCATACGTGACTGCAAAATTATTTAAAATTGAAATTAAAGTTATGCCAATTTCAATTCTGTCAATGTAAAATTGATTTTGGGCGAATTACATTGAGAATTAATTATTGTGTTAATAAAAATTTGCGCAATTTCAAATGTTTTAGAATTGAATTTATTGAAATGTCAGGAGAATGGGATGTTTATGAGTATTTGAAAACAATTTTCTCTGCACACGAAGAGAAATCTATCACTGAACGTAATGAATAATAAATATTTGGAATGCCCTCCAAGATAAAATATTCTACTCTAAAGCTCGAGGGGAGCGGCCACACGTGAAACTCGATTTTCCATTTGTTTGTATTATGAAATCCAATAGGTATGCAAAATGGAATATTCAAGTGTATAAGGCTGGATAACGATATGGTGGTGCCCGATCGCAGGTGTAGAAAATTTGAAAAACCCGATTCACCATCGTCGCTGCAGTGCAACGAGCGTCCTTGTCCGGCTCGTTGGAGAGCCGATGCTTGGTCCGAGTGTTCCGTCACCTGTGGCACGGGTGTGAAAACACGGCGCCTCGAGTGTGTTCAAGATTTGAATTCTAAATTGACAATGCGCGTAGCCGCGGGCGCTTGTTCCCAACCACCGGACTTGGGCACAGTCAGCTCTTGTGGTGGCCCACCTTGTCCAAGTCTGGAAGTTCGACAAATGAGTGGCACACAACGTGATACTACACCGAGGTGGGATGTTGGCGTGTGGGGTCCAGTGAGTATTCCCCAAAATTACTCATTCACGAGTTGTCACATAACACAGTCCTACAAAATTCTGACTTTTTGGCAGAGGGATGAGATTGCCACCACTCGAAAGATTTTTGCAAACTGATTTCAAATCCGTTGGCCCAATCCCTTGAAATGATCTAGTTTTTGAGAGAAAAAAAAATCTGCAACTCCTCAAAATGGCTCAAAATTTTTTTTTTCAAAATCTTAATTTATGCAATTTGAGATGTACGTTTCTGCGGAAATTCACGGAAGGTTGTCGATGGTTCAAGAAAGGGCCAGAACGGGACAGAATTCTCTGGAAAGTTCGCGAATCGTCTGCAAAACTACAATTTTCCGATGCAGAATGTTCCAGCAGATTCTGGAATGTTCTAGAAATCTTTAGGAATTGCGCGATTAATTCAGAAATGAACGCTTCGGAAAATCACGGAAGGTTCAGGAAAGTTATAAAAACTCCCGACTGATACCTCATTTTTTCCGGGGTGATTCTTACATTAATTTTGCGTTATTTTATCGTAAAATTACCCTAAAAATTTATAAAACCTCGATTGATTTGAAAGCTAAGCTACAAGACCCGTTCATCATCGATGCATTCTTTAGGTGCTCCGACAATATTTCAGAATATTCTAGACTTTTGTATCATTTATCTGCTAAATGTCGATTTCAACACGAAAAAAATACGACCGCCGTAAGGCGAAAAAATGCACTAGTTTAATTAAATAACGATAAGTAATTAGTAAACACTGTGAATTGAGCTTTACTTCTGCTTTATTAATATCGCACAAGTTAGAAACGTCTATCTTCATTAAAACAATTTTGTGAAATACAGCTATATAATTCAACAAACGATTTTAAATAAAAAAAATAAGACATTTTGAAAGATCCTAGACTGGATCTTATACTCTTAATTCGAATGCTAACAGATTAATTTTTAGTGTTCATCAACATGCGGAAAAGGCGTTAGAAGGCGCACAGTCACCTGTATCACGGCCGGTGAACCCTGTCTCCAGTCTACAAAGCCCGTTGATGAAAGACTCTGCGAGACACCATGCAATTCACCATCTGTCTGGCTGTATTCCGAGTGGTCGTCAAAGGTAAAAATCCCTGTACCAAAACCTCTAATATTTCACGATAGCTTAAACATCTGTGTAAACCTCTCAAGATTCAGGAAAATCCAAACAAATAGTATGAAAACATTGAAGCCCTTACTTAAAATCCATACCGCTAAAACATTTCAGTACAAACAGCCGGATGTCTTGATTAAATATTCATGTATACCCTCGTATATTTAACCACCTTTTTTTTTAAAAATATTTTTCCGAATGACTCGTGGAAATACATATTTATCGAGAGCCACGAATGTAGAGGGAAAATTACACGAGTCCGCCTTGGAGATAAGAAATATGAAGAAATGAATGATTTCCGTAGTGCACAGCTCAATGCGGCCATGAGGTGGAGACGAGGAGAGTTGCCTGCAGCGATGTCAATGAAACATTCTGTGATGCGAGAAAAAGGTCAATTACTGAGAGGCAATGCGTCAATGCAACAAAATCCTGTCCAGAGCCGAAATGGTTCACTGGCCCATGGTCAGCGGTAAATATTTTTGCGTATATTGTAAAACTACATGTGACGCAGTCGGTGTAGCACATAATTCTGAAGTACTGCATAGCACAGTTTGGCGTGTAAATTACGTTGGTTCAGCTGCTAGAATGTTTTATTTTGTTCCATCTGCCGAAGACGCAGTATTGGATACATAAATATCATAAAAAATATTATATCATGTCCCGAGAATAGGTAAACCGCGAATTTTAACTTCACTTTGTGCAGTTACAACGCGTTTCTGGGCACTTGGGGCATAAAATATTATTTTATATCCCTAGGACTCTGGAACTACAATTTTAACATCGATTCTCTCGGTTAAATCGCGGTTTTCGGGTCCAGACGCATAAAATATTGTATGTCACACGGCGATAAAATAATTTTCTGACTCATGTGATTAAAATCCTCGCCTCCTCGGCTCGGATTATTATGCCACATTCGTCAGAAAATACTTTTATCGCTTGGTGACATGAGATGACGTGGCGAATCCAGTAGCGATCAATAAATAATGACATTGATCCTTGTAAAATTCATCCCTTACACTACCTTTACGAGGTATGAAACTCGCGACTTTTATCACCCTCGCGTAATATATGTGTACGTCCACATGAAAGGGCCCCCTGTACCGCATCTGGTTTACAATCTATTCACATTCTTGTTTTCGCAATTTTCAATTAAACCAATATTAAATTATTTCTTTGATCTTCTCTGCAACGTCATTTTCCACGCTATCGAGATCATTTTGGGCTTAAATTGGGCGGAATGTTATCAATATTATCGGAGTATAGATAACTCCATATCGTCAAAGAGACAATATTCATTAAAATACCGATAGTTTCTCAAAAAAGAAAATGATTTTCAGAGCTGAACTCGCATGCATGTCTCCCATTCATAGTTAAATCTATATTGAGCTGTTCAATGAATGAAAAAATGACCTAAGAATAATATTTTCATAAGTGTTCCGTCCTGTGTGGCGAGGGTATCGCCCATCGCGATGTTATTTGCATCGATAACTCGTCAGGTGAATCAAAAATACTTTCGGAAAGTAATTGCACATCACCGAGGCCGCACGCCGAGCAGGTCTGCCACATGCCAGTTTGTATGCCCGAGTGGTACACGTCCGACTGGAGTGAGGTAATTTTTGGGTGCTTATTCATTGACATGCTCAGTGTATTTTTTTTTCCATCCAATTTATGTTTCACTGACGTATTTATTCAGTGCTCGGCTACTTGTAATGGGGGTATGCAGAGGAGACTTGTGCGATGTATTGCGGAGGGCTTCGAATTGACGGGATGCGAGGTCAGGAACAAGCCGGTGGACCAGAGGATTTGTAACACGCAACCGTGCAGAAAGGACTTGTCACACAAAATTCCGAAGAGTGAGTCATTTCTTCTTATAATGAAATTGTTGAGTTTGAAGGACTTATCTATTTACCACTTGACTACGATTCCATGTGTTGTCTATTTCAGAGGTTCATTCTGTCGACGGATGCATAGATAAATACCCCAACTGCGAATTAGTAGTGAAAACTGGCTTATGTCGAATAAAATACTACAAACACTCGTGTTGTGGATGTCGTCATTAATCTCAATTGAAAGAACATATAAATTGAATTAACAATTGTAATTGAAAGTCTGACCCTATCGTAGTATAACGAGATTTTTGTAAAGGAAATGTAAAAGTATTTTTACTAATTTAAACAAGTAACTATTCAATGATCGAGAGTTGTGACTTATACTTTTATTGAGGCGATGAAGCTGGTAAAAAACATTGTATCATGGGAATCACGGCTCGAACAATTTTTCTTGCTTTTGCAATGCGAGCAAATAATTTCAGCAAATTAATTTCAAATCTAAGCAATTTCTCACAAAAATACTTCATTAAATATGGTTTTCTCAGGCTCTTTCGTTGGTTAATGCACCCCCTTTACCCGTCCATTGCTCCTTCAAATCCACTTTCAATCCAAGGTCTCTCAGTGCAGCGCGAGCATCCTCAGCTAGTACTGGGTGATTTTTAATCGCATTTTGGAGAACAGCATCGGCTCCATAGGACACGAATTCCCGCGACTCAGCTTTATTCCTCACCGACATATTCCTTATCGCCCACGATGCTTGTCGTAGGACAGTCAAACTCTTTGGAAATTCTTTCATAGCGTCAATAATCACTGATGGGGCACCGCAGTCATAGAATACCCCAGCATTTGAAGAACTGCGGAGTGTCAAGGCAGAAATACAGGATAATGCTGCTGAAGCGACACTCTCTGAGCTCTGTAATGAAAAAAAATTAGTCTTTAACGGAGGAAGTCCTCCAATCAGCGAACAATCTTCCTGTAATTTTAAGATCAACCCAATCAGCACTAGAGAAATTCCCTTAGACTGCACAAATCCTTGATTTAGTGATTACATGTCAAAATAGCATACGCAAATGTTAACAAACAAATTCACACAATTTGGAAACAATTATCAACGCAGTCTTCGAAATCAAGAAATATTTACTTTTGGCATGAGAATTCATTTAATGAAAAAACAAAAAAAATATGAACAAGAATACAGTCAATTGCATTTATAAATAAATGAGGAGGAGGTATAAAAAATCGCAAAAAAATGATCATCCAGTAAATGGCATTAATAAATGAGAGCATATAAATCAGTAAATCGGCAGATTCAATAAATTGCTATCAAATTATAATTAAACTAATCACAAAAAATAGTATCATCAAAATAATACTAATTCACACCACCCAAGTGTCCAATAAGTAGGGATTGTCGAAGTGTCACATGTGACGCATATGCTTGAATACACGTGTTAAAAATATTGTTCAGAGTTTTTACTTCAGTTTTGAAGACTGAGTTGTGCTGAAAAATGCGAGTCGGACTTCCTTTCGGAAGTCGTTTGGCTGGCTAGAAACATTGTCAATGACAATGCTAACACAGTATTAGTGGCAAAAACCGTGAGAACGCTTATCTTAGCATTTTGGGGGCGGCAGCGTCTGTGAGGCTCCTGGTTCGGCAGAGTACGATCGGGAGCCGAACCGGACAGTCGAGTACAATTTTTCCAACTTCAGCACCACGTATACCCGAACCCCTTAAGGATGTTCGACACCCTTTTAGCCAAAATTGACGTTGTTTTCATTTTTCTGGCAAATTATCGATGGGAGTGACGTGAAAAAATATAACGATTTTGTGGTTTGTCATTCTTTAATGGCTCACGAAGTTGCGTAGTGGTGCGATAATTTTCATGCGTTTTTTCTACAGTTTTGTGATTCTTTTTAAAAGTTTAGAGAAAACGCAGGAAAATGTTCGCACCACCTTAAAATTTCGTCAGTCATTAAATAATGACAAAACGCAAAAACGTTATATTTTTTCACGTCAATTCCATCATAAGTTTGCCAGAAAAATTAAAAAAACGTGAATTTTGGCAGAAAGGGTGTAGAACATCCTTAACGTTTTACGTTATATATGCACAAGTCTAAATTCACTCATTATATCCCTTTAATCATTCGTTCGTATTGTCATTTAAAATCCATTCTGGTCTGTTCTCATGATCGGACACCGGACAGGACCACTGAGTGGACTGCCCTTAAGCGCGCCAGCAGTAGCCGAGATCATCACCGTGGGTTGCGACTGACAGAGTCAGTCGTTCATTACCCAATGAAATCAATTGTGGAAAGCCTCCTACATCACACACACAACTACACACGTCAGCAGAGTAAACCGATTGGTTTAAAATGCTTAAATAAAAAATAAAAAAACTACACACGTGTTAAATTTGTACATGTTAAATTGTCAAGTGTTGAAAATGCATGTGTTAAGTCTGTGCGTTGAAAATAACGGGTGTTATTTAGACCGGTAACCGATTTGGTTTCATGTCAGAAGTCACCTTGAATCTACCAATGCTGGAAACAATGAGAGGAGCACTGCCACACGTGACAATATGGGCTTTGACATTGTCATTGCCAGCAAGTGCCTTCAGTAGTTTCAGGGCCTGCCAGTTCAATTTCTCCGTGTCAGGATGGTTAATCATGACGTCGAGAATAAACGTCAGACCTCCAGCGTCTTCGACGTCCTGGCAGAATTCGTTTCTAACGATCAGAGAGGCCATCGTCAGCATGAGGTCCCCAACGACTCCTACGTCTCCCTTAAATTCTGTGAAAAAAAAATCTCATCAGATGGGATACAACTCTGGAAACTGGTAATGAGACATTCAATTTACTCATGTTTACTTGTTAATAACCCAGTGAGGACAGTGAGTGATGCCCTGGCCATTTGAGCGGCATGATCATGAGCTTTTCCATATTCATGCCTTATGTCGTCATCCAGCGCTAAACTCCTCATCGCTCCACAGCAATCTCTGAGCTCAGGGCCTGTTATATCCTCTTTCTCGATAATTTTTCTGATTCTGTGAATAATCCCAACGTTGAATATCGCTTGTCTGTTCATCTCATGTTTAATGCAACACTCTTTTATCCAACGGAGGAGGAGCTGGATTGTTGGGACATCTGATAGCCGATCGACAAGTCTGAAAACAATATATTTTGCGAATACCAACATTGCGAATGAAATTTCTTACTCAAGAGCAACATTCTTACCTAATCTGTAACTTGATTCCACGAGCGTCCAACAGATCAGGATGTCCAGTCATCAGCGATGTCATTGTCTTGATGACTGATTTAAGAATATTAAGATTTTCTTCGTTCTCCACTTCTTCCATAAGATCGAGGAGAATGCAGTACGCATTTTCTTTGGCAGCGTACATTCTCCTGGCAATGTCTCTGTTTAATTCAGTCTTGAGTTTTTCCAATGCATCAGGAACGTCGTTGTAATTTTTTTCTTCTATCGAGGCGGATAGTTTCCTCAGGCAAGTCTGTATCACGTTTGAATTTTCGCTGATCGCCAGGTCCTTGATAATGTTGGTCAAGTCGATGCCCTGATTGTGGATTGAATAATACATAAGTAAAGACATCGGAATGTAGTTTTTATTCAAAATTTTCTTCGTTTATGTTTTATTACCTGGGCCTCAAACTGCTTAACCGCATCCTCGATGGCCTCTTGTGGTGTCATAGCCAGATCCTCAATATTCTCCTTCACCACTTCATCGTAAGTCTCTTGTTTGATCACGCGCACCATGATTACTGCACCACTGGCTCTCAAGTTTTTCCTTTATTCCTCGACTGCGACCTGAATCGCCATAAAAGGCTTGAATTGGTGGACGGACGGCACACGGGTACGGTGCCGTATGTACACCGGTGTGATCATTTCTCAATGACTTTTTTAGTTGCACTCTTCTCTCTCACAGCGCGAGGTAAAAGCCCGGTGCGCGGTCAGTAACTTTTTTTCTAACTTTTACCCGCCCCCCGCGTGTTGCGGCCGACTCCGAAGCTTCATATCAAAATTTGCACAGTCGGTAACAGGGAAAGTGTCAAAATAATATAATTGACCAGGTCTGTATGAGGCTCCGAAGTCAGGGTGCCTTTTCCGGACGAAAATGAATACATTAGTCAATTTTAATCAATTTTTTTCGACCATTATAGCGTCTTCGGAAGATCCTGAAAAACGGTATTCCCAGGAACGTGAGATTGATCTAGTGGTGTTTTTCTGGTTCCTTTAGCTCTACTCTAGGTTCAGTATCACATCCTGCGGACCTCTCGCGGACATCCTGCAGATATTTTCGAAATTTCTCATTTTTTTCAATTTTTTTCAACTTTTTTTACTTTTTCCACTTTTCAAACTTTCTTTCAAGTTTTTAAACTTTTTACTTTTATTACAGGGTCATGTTTTGACCATTACATTTTGACCCTTAGATTCTGCCTCTTGCATTTTGACCCTTATTTTTTGAATCTTTTATTTTGAACCTTATATTTTGACCCTTACATTTTGACACTTAGATTTTCACCCTTAGATTTGGACATGCACTTGGGTTCCAGACCTGTATGGAAGACCGTGCTGTAGCCGCTAGTTACCCAGCGATTTAACGTTCATGTGCCCTTAATTATTGTAATGAACGCATGATGGCGCCAGTGGTTTTAGTGGCTTCATACTTGCGTTCCAATGACGAAACAATGTCTTCACTTGACAAAATTCGAATTGAGGATCAAGTTTCCAGAATTGTAGAAATCCCTGAAAATCTAGACCACGGAAAAAAACGAGGGAAATTTTTCAATTGATTGACTGATTGAGAATTTTATTACTATACGTTATATTGTACAAATGACGTAATGACACAAGTCATGTAGCAAAGATAATAGAGGCAGTATAAACAGAGATTTAGATAATAAACCCACACGCTGGGGATGTAAATTCGGTAGATTTTAGCACGTTTGGGGTGTATGTGCTATTTTTTCTGATTTTTTTTATAGGACTAGGGACCTTGCAGAATTGGAAGCGCCAATGAGTCAGTATTTCGGTAAGATTCGAGGAGTAGAATAATGGTATTGAAGACTGCGGATTGTGTGACGAATTTATAACATTTTCGATGTATCAGAATATTTTTTGAATAAAGTTAATCATATTTATTGATAAAATTATGGTCATGAATACTACATATATTCGGAGAGTCCTACGATTTATTATATTTGAAACCTGGAATATTCGAATGAACTCTTTTTACACAATTTTTTGTCATGGATACATTATCCATCGCGGACAGACGATTGAGTGCCGAATTCGAGAAATCCATCTAAATTAATATCTGTCATGCTCAAATATCGAATGATCCCTGAGGAATAATTTCTAAAGCTACTCAATACCTCTGCCGCAGAAAAATCGATGACTCTCATCATAAAAACAATAAAAGCTGATACCATCACTTTTGCGTTCATAAATATTTCAAACGCACTCCACTTTCGTTGCGTTCAGCGTGACATACAGGGACAAAGAATACTTGATGTGGTAGATGAAGATTGGATTTTGTCTAGTGACTTCATCAACTATGAATGAGTAATTTTTTAATGCCACAAAGCAATAAAAAGAAAGGCCGGACACATCCTTCGTTCGTTTAATATCCACGTCTTTTTACAATTCATTCAAAGCAATCCAACACTGTATTATACTCATAACAATTCTCGCATTTGCGGGGTTCCAGGGGCGAGAGGGTGGCACGTCACAATCCACCGCTCAAGTTGTAAAAGCAGAATCTTAAGTGATGGAAACCATGCGAATGAGGGAGAGAAAAAAGTGACGGGGAAAGCTCCGGGGAAAATCGTGGCATTTTTACCGCCCGGCGATTATTCGTGGATGGCGTAATTTTAGTACAGGAAATACCGCTGCATTGCGCGCTTCATACCGTGGAATTTTTTCGTTTCACGCTGGGGATGTAATAAAAAAGGGGGATTCTGCTTGATGAGAAAAAAGTTATGACGAGAGAGAGAGAGAGAGAGAGAGAGAAAAAAACAGCTAAGCTGTTTCTGATAATTTTTCTTGGAATAATGTGCGAATGGAAGAAAGTAATTTTCCTTTGTCACGATGAAAAAACATCAAAGGAGAGAGCATTTATTAATAGCGCAGACGCGTGTAATAGGGTGATGGAAATTATGATGATTTTCTACGCAACTCTGTCAACTCGAGGAGAAACTTGGTTATTATAATTATAGTGAAGCGTTTGTGTAATGGTAAATTTAGCCGCAGGGATGACACTTTTATTCGTTAATTGCGATTTTCTTCTTTACTACCGGAGGGAAAAAGAAGGAATATTTTTTTAATTTGAAAAATTCGAATTTCTAAAACCGAAATTATGCTCGAACTGCCAACGATATTTTTCAGTCGCGAATAGTTTTTTCTCCGATTTTTTGTTGACCTAAAAAATTACATACACAGGGGATATTCTGTACTGCCTGGGTATCATGAGTTTTAATTATTTTATGTTGTTCGGGGGCTTGGCAGAATGTAAATACAATAGAAGCAATAGAGCCTGAGACAACGAGATACACGACAGAGTGAAGATTCGCTGTGTTGGCCAGTCAGGGTCCAACGTGAGCGACGCTCCAACGATCGTATGCATATGCAAATTCCAACTGAACAGACCTCTCCAGTGTTACAACCCCACTCGGTCTCCTCTCCTCGACCCTCTCTCTTTTCCCACCCACTCCTGCCCATAACCATTTCTCACTCCTACCTGTTCCCCAATCGCGTTATTCCTGCCGAGTGACTTCTAGACGAAACCTGCCGAGAATATTACTGTTGGATAATTTCATGTCCCACATCGAGTCTAGTACTAGGTCGCATACATCTTATTATTTTTTTCCCCTGACCCCATCAAGTTTTCATTGCTCTCATTTTTTTTTCTTCTTTGGTTCTTATGGTAATTTCTATTATGTCTGCAAGTAAAAGCCCAAGGGCTGCGACTATGGGGCTGTAATCTGCAAAATCATAGCCTGGTTGCACCAGTTTTAATTAACGAAATCGTCAATTAACGGCGACTAATTTATTCGAGGTTTCAAATAGCTAAAACAGAGCTTGCACTGTTAGAAAAAAAATGAAATTTCAAGGTTCACTGAAAATTCAGTAAAATTCCAGAATTTTAAGCAGTATAAAGGCGAGAATTCCTTAATTTATTTGAATTTCCAATCTAACATGAATATTTAGTGCCAAATTACAATGAATTTTCAGCGACATCTGAAATTGCATGATTTTTTTCTTCTAAATCTCATTCAGTATCACTCTCCTGAAAATTCAAGAATAAATTTACCGGAATTTTCGGGTTTTCTATTTGTTTTCAGAGAAAAACGGAACTAAAATTTACAGTTCTCTTTGATTTTTCCACGAAATTCTTAGTTTTCAATTAAATTCCTTGAAATTTCAGTGGTAATTAAATTCGATAAAAATTTCCAAAAATTGGTTAAATCGGCCCCTAATTAAATAAACATACTTTTGAATAAGAAAAAAAATACATGTATTACGAAAAATATTCGGCCTAAATGGGTGGTCTTACTTCGAGCTCATTAATTCAATTATTGCGAAAAAAACATATCCAAATTGACAATATTTAATTCTTCAATTGAGAATATATCGCTCCATCCAGGTCCATATCTTCCGTGAATCTTCTCAACTCCTTAAACGAGAAAAAATGTAGCATTAATACCTCCACTAATCAAGAGCGGCTGAGTTATATGTGAGTGCAGAGAGAAATTTAGGAATCCCATAATTACGCTGGTAAATCCCCGAAGAATTCCCTGAATTTGCGCAATTGGGGCAGGTCAATTTTATGGAGAAATTCGAGAATTCTCGTGTATTGTTGAGTACTAACATTAAAGTCCTGTCTGACTGGGTGATTCAAAACTCAGTTGACCAAACTACCACTCCCACCACTTAAACCCCAGTGGTCCAACTGCACCTCGAGTCGGACACGTTTATTGCGCATTCACCCGATACTAGAATATGAAAATTCGCCTGGTAAAAGAGTTTTCATGATAAAACTTGTTTTTTTCGAATGACTAAATGTGAATGAAAAAACCTTAGTAGCCACCACTCGCTGAATTTTCGGGGGTTCCACGCAATTCGTATATATGAAGTAGGTTAATTGCCGTTCGCACGATTTATGTAACATCTCATGTATACCAGCGGTTTCGTGAATGTAGAAATTATTCCTCCAGCCCAGAAGTATAATCAAGCGCATTGCAATGCGCTCTCCCCATCCCCATGAAAAGAATTTGTGGGAAATCTTTTTTTTTTTTCATTTTTTCTCTCCAGTTTCTAGAAGCAAAGTTTCAAGTGAAGAAAACGAATAAAATTTTCACTCAGTGGCACTCATGCTGACTAAAATGTGAAATTCGAACTATTGGAGAAAATGGAGCCAAGGAAAAAGGCGAGCATGCAATAAAATCACAATGTTATGTGGAGTATGGTGGGAATGTATGTGAAAAATATGAACGAACAGATATGTCGAATATTCGCGGACACCTTCTGTTCCGCGATATTATTGTCATTCAAAGAACGCTTTTGTTGCTGTTAATCTTGCAATTAATTCAACATCATTAAACATTCGAGCTGATGCAAATATAACAGACATTTAATTGAATTAAAACGTCTGTGCGATTATATTCCATTCTTGTTTCCAACAACGTAAATAATTAGTGGCAAAAAAAGAACAGGCAAAAGAAAAGAAGATGAAAAGAGCATTGCGTATTCTGATGCAGTTGTATCGCAGTTTATCCAGGGTTTGCAGTCGGTGGAAACATACCAATTAGCCGTTTTGCATGGCAACTGAGGAAGCACAGTTGGTGTCGGGTGCACATTTTCTTCTTCTCAGCGTGGAAAAAAACAAGGGTAAAGAATAAAGAACAACAATGAAAGTGGGTGAAAAAAAAATAGAAGGATGAGAGTAGAAAG